AAATTAGGTCTTTTAATAATTTTAATAATTCACTTCCCTTTATTAAAATACAGAAACACATTTTGCTGAGATTTTATTAAGAAGTCTCAGTAAAATAACACAGAAAGCTATCCCTGATATTCATTTGAAACAGGTTTTCCCAGAAATAAGCAACCAAACACATAATATTGCTGAAAACACTCTTGAACCATATCATGAGTAAAATTTAGTGAAGCTTCATGTTCAGGTAAACTGATAAATATTCATAAATAAAAATACTAACTTCCCACAAGAACTATATATGGAATAGTTTCTGCCCGGTATATTGCTGGAAATCAGGCTAAACTCAGGCCATCAGTTTCACTTTTTCTCTTATGTTTTTCTTCTTCCCAAGGAAGTGAGTAAAATTAAGTAAGGATAGGCTCCTGAAGCAAGAAAAAATTGATCAAGGAATCTGGCATGTTGCTTCAAATAAATAGCTCATTTAAAATTGGAGTCTGTTTCAGTGTCTGTTACAATACGGATTCCTTCCTGAGAAAGGGAAATCTCAAAAAAAATAGTAATATGCTCTGAAATAATGCCTCCTTCATCTTTTGTGTCCATCACTCTTAGATAAAGGAATATTTATATTCATTACAGCACAGCTAAGGTTTTTTTCCCCATGTTGGAAAGCCTTTCCAACAATCCCAAGCAACTTTTCCTACTAGAAAATAATGTTATCTTAACAAAGGGAAAACATTACCAGCTCTCCCAGAAGGAAGTCAGAAGAATATTAAGGGAGATTCTGTATTCAGGAGCATTTCAAGTTTTCAGTTTAGGATATACAGATGAAAAAGCATTAAAATGTGGCCAGTGAGGGAACAACCAACAGGAAAAATACATACTTCAGGAAGATAGTCTTGACTTTAAGTTCACATCACTTAAGCAAAAATGTTCTTAATATTTAGTTGGTTCCCCTTTTTTGTGTTTTTAGGGTACACTGTACATTGCCTATGATCACATTTTTCATATTGTGCAGCAATTATTCTTCACCACTAGACTATAAGGTCTAAAAAGACAGAGATTTTGTGCCTTTTTTCACCACCTATATCTCCAGTAGCAAGCATGCACCTGGCAAATGGCAAATGCTGAATAAATATTTGCTGAATAAATATTGGATGATCCCAACATATTCCAAACATAGTTCTAGGTGCTTCCGGGGGTATAAAGGTATATAAGACTCAGCCCCTGACTTCAACAATTTTCTGGCATAGTTGTGGTGCTGTGGGGTGAAAAGGGGAGCAGAGGCATAAATAAGACACAGACATAAGTTACTAACCAAAAAGCAGAAGTATGTGCTTTAAAAGAGGTATAAATGAGGGTTTTAAAAAGGAGTTAGGACAACAGTGTTGAGTTAAAGAAGTTTTCTTGAAGAACAGGAAATTTGAGAAAGGTCTTCACAAATAAGTAGGACTGGTATGCAAAAAAATAAAACAAAACAAAAAAAAGATATTCCAAGCTGAGGTAGCAGAATGAAAAAATGGAAAAAGCTATTTGTGGGGGAAGAAAAAGTCAGTTTGAATAGTATGGAGCTCAGTTTGGCTGGAGTTCTGGGCATGTTAGGAGAGCACTGGGAGACAAAATCCTAAAGGTAGATGGCACTGTATTTAAGGAAGCCATTGACTGCCAGACTGTATTTTGTGATTTTTTGGGCAATAGGAATCCATTAATGCTTTTTAAGAACTCATTTTAAGGAAAAAAATATCTGACAGCATTATATAGTATGAAGTAGAAAATGATAAGGGATAGGGAAATAAATTAAGTAATAAGGTCCTGAACTAGAGTATAAACAATGCAAATTTAAAGAATAATATTATGAGAAATAACGCAGGTGCAGAAGGTAGTAATAATAATAATATCGGTTATTAAGCACTTATGTACCTTACACTATGCTAAATAAATTATATACAGCAGCTCAATTAATTCTCACACTGACTCTAAGTTAGGTACTATGATTATTCTCATTTTATCAATGAGAAATTAAAGAATCAGAGAAGTTTGGTGATATACCTGAAGTCACACAGTTATTAATTAAAAGAGCAAGAATTTAAACCCATGTAATCCTGACTCCTAAACATATGTTATTTCCCCCATAGTAAGCTGTCTTCCCTAACTTGTTTGGAAGTGGAAAATAAATGACAGAGTCAATGCCTCCAAGACTTTGAGACAACCTAGGAAAACTTTAGTGAACTTAATAGCAATGAAGAAGTCAGGAGCAGAATCTGGTTTGAAGTTTTGAGGGATGATCATTTTTGTGTGAGATATATTGATTTTATTTACTGAAATTATTTCTTTCAACAAATACTGAGCACTTATTTGTGTCTTCCACAGTCCTCAGTTCTGTTTTATAGCAAGTAAACAAAACACACAAGAATGCTTGTCCTCGTGAACTTTACATTCTAGTAGGGAAAATATATAAAAACAAAATAAATAAGTAAAAATCAAAGAGTATGTTAGTTACAACTGGCAATAGATAAAATAAATACTGACGAGATGGGGAGTGTTGGAAGTGAGATGCAGTTTTGAATAAGAAGATGAGGGAAAGCTTCATGAAAAGTACGCACTTGGGTAAAGATCTGAAGGAGGCAAGGGAGTAAAACAAATAAATAACTAGGCTAAAGCATTTCAGGCACAGGGAACTGCCAATTCAAATGCTTTGAGGCAGGAAGGTTCTTGGTCTGTTCACCTAACAGCAAGAATGGTAAAGTTGCTGGAGCAGAGTGCAAGGGGGAGAATCTTAGAAGGTGAGGTCAGAAGAGTAACCAGGGGCCAGACCATGTAGTTAAAATAGGCCATTTGTTGTAAGGACTTTTATTTTTCCTCTGAGTGAGATGAAAAGACATTAGTAGATTTTTTATCAAAGAGGTGACATTATCTGACAAGATATGACATATTTTCAATAAATAGAAGAGATGGCTTCACTTTCATATGTTGAATTTTAAGATGGTAGTGAAATATCCAAAAGAAGAGGTGTCATATATAGTTGGAAAGAGAGCTACAGCTCAGGATTGACATATAGATTTAAGAGTCATTGGCTTTGATAGGAGAGGTGAATGTTCATTAGAGGTTGACAGGATGTTTATTTGTATAGTTCTGATTTCTAATCAGTGATGTTAGCAGGTGATGACTTTTATATAAATAGTTAAAAGGGGGCTGAAAACCCAGGGCTTGTGACTTTTTGGTCTGCCACCTAATTTTGCCTGTCACCTAATCAAAATCACTACCTATGAAAATATTTCAAAGATGTATTTCAGTTTGGGAGCTGAACAACCTCTAATTTTAACCACTCTTTCAACATCGATGTTATTCTTTACAGTCTTGCTTCTTGTTATTTTATAACACCATCTCTCTACTTCCTTATCTGAGAAATCTCAAGTATTTAACCCTTTCAATCTGAATGCATAGTTCATACTATTTATCAGCATGTTTAAATAAAGTGTGCATTGTATCTTTGAACAAATGAGCTATTTTACTTACCAGGCAATTGAGGCAAAATAATAACAATTACAATTCCTTCAGGGGTCGAATCAAGCCAACTTCAAACATGGATTTGAAAATCTACATGGATTTGATAATCCATAGCAGGATGTTTTATAATTCCTACTTCATTTTTTTCTTCCCACATATCTTTAAAGTCAATTAACTCCTCCTGCATTTCAGCAGCCTCGAGGCAACTATCCAGGTGCCTAAGCTAAAATTTGTTTTAGAACAAAGGTCATGGACCTAGCTGGGTCAACATTTTGGGGATTTTGATTCTTCGTATCGATGTCATGGTCTTTTGTCTTGGATAATTGAGAGGTGACTAAATGACCCTTGTTATTGCAAGTAATTAAAGAGAAGGTGGTTGCCCTCTAATTTTCAGACATCTGGGGAAGATATGAAACAAATCAGTGGCCCCTATATGATGGTTCAAGGACAAATGCTGGCTGGGTTGGCTATATCTGAATCATATGGGGATCTTTTTAAAAATACAAATTTCAGGCCCTAAGTACTGAATTAGAATCTCTACAGGAGACACTAGAAAATCTAAGGAAAGTTGTAATGTTTTTTAAACTTCACCAGATGGGTGTGACACTCAGTGATGTTTGTGAAGCTGTGGTCTACATCAGAGCCTTTAAAATGTTAATATGCCTAAGAATCACTTGTGGTTCTTCTTAAATTGCTGATTATGTTGCAGAAAGTCCCTGATGGGATCTGTGATTCTTTTGCATTTCTAAAAAGTTCTCCAGTAATGCTGGTTCATGGATCAGATTTTGAGTAGTAAGGGGCTAGATTACTTCTCAGATTCCTTCTAGCTATACTGTCTTGTGATTCTAAAGTGTCTTATGGAACTTGTGACTAATCACACTCATTCACATCAGAACTTTCCATTAAAGGTAATAGATTTTTCTACACATAGGCTTTTTCTTCAAAAATTTCTAGACAATAATTGGCTTAATTTTTTTTCATTTGCAGCTCTGAATTTGTTTCTCACTTTTTAGTTTACAACACATAACTGAAAAAGTCCCAGAAAGATGATCCATCCAAGTTAATCACCTGTGAAGAGTTGTGGACCCACTGAGTACTAAAGCAAACCTTTCTTCTATGTGAGCCAAAAAAATGAAAAACAGCCTGCCATACACCAGTAAAGAGATGACTGTCATCATATGGGAATTTGAAGAGCTACTATATGGCACATTTATGATCAAATGGGAGAGGATCAACTGCTATGATGTCCCAGAAGGCCTTTTAACTGAGTAAAGAAGGGAAAATTATAACAGCTTGTCATCTGTGCTTGCACATTAGACTTCAATGTAGTTAATGTAGACAAATCCAAAGCAAAAATGCAGATAGTTACTTGAAAAAAACCCAAATCATGTATATAAGCCCAGACCAATGCAATAAAAAGGAGGTTATTCTATATTCAGTCTCCCCAGCCCATCGATGATCAGTCTTTTAGAAAGAGCAGCAGTAGATTATAAATTTAGCTTTTTAACCACCATTTAGCAAAGGCAGTTTCTCTAGAAAGAAACATGCCTGCTAATGACACATGTGCTGGGACAGATGGATCCAATACAGATTTTCGGTACTTCATCTATGCAGTGACATACACTGTCATTCTTGTGCCAGGTCTCATAGGGAACATATTAGCCTTGTGGGTATTTTATGGCTATATGAAAGAAACCAAACGGGCTGTGATATTCATGATAAACCTAGCCATTGCTGACTTACTACAAGTCCTCTCCTTGCCACTGAGGATCTTTTACTACTTGAATCATGACTGGCCATTTGGGCCTGGCCTCTGCATGTTTTGTTTCTACCTGAAGTATGTCAACATGTATGCAAGCATCTACTTCTTGGTCTGCATCAGTGTGCGAAGATTTTGGTTTCTCCTCTACCCCTTTCGCTTCCATGACTGTAAACAGAAATATGACCTATACATCAGCATTGTTGGCTGGCTAATAATCTGCCTTGCCTGTCTGCTATTTCCTCTCCTCCGAAGCAGTGATGACACCCCTAGCAACAGAACCAAATGCTTTGTGGATCTTCCTACCAGGAATGTCAATCTAGCCCAGTCTGTTGTCATGATGACCATTGGCGAGTTGATTGGATTTGTCACTCCTCTTCTGACTGTCCTGTATTGTACCTGGAAGACGGTTTTATCACTGCAGGATAAATATCCTGTGGCCCAAGACCTTGGAGAGAAAAAGAAAGCCTTGAAGATGATTCTAACCTGTGCAGGAGTTTTCCTAATTTGCTTTGCACCTTATCACTTCAGTTTTCCTTTAGATTTCCTGGTCAAGTCCAATGAAATTAAAAGCTGCCTAGCCAGAAGGGTGATTCTAATATTTCATTCTATTGCCTTGTGTCTTGCTAGTCTGAATTCCTGCCTTGACCCCATCATATACTACTTTACCACTGATGAGTTCAGAAGACGGCTTTTGAGACAAGATTTGCATGATAACATAAAACTCCATGCAAAATCATTTGTGAGCAGCCATACCACTTCTACCTTGACAACTGAGCTATGTTAAAAAAAAAAAAAAACTGGATGTGGACTGAAACTTAAGCTATAAAATTTCAGTGACATACTATACACATATGATCTCAACTAGAGCCAGCAGTTGTATCTGTGAACCTAAGACAAAGAGAGACTATTAGGTTGAAGTCATTATAAGCACTTAGTTTTGTTACAATGGACATTGAGTTTCCTTGTATTTAGAAGCAATGTAATTGTCTATTTATACTAGTAATCACAGTTTATATACCAATATCATATTTTAGTTGTCTTTAAGTAGGATGGACATTATATTATTCTGCAAAAACAGTGTTAAAATCATGGACTTTTTTTTTTTTTTTTTGTGGTATGTGGGCCTCTCCCATTGCGGAGCACAGGCTCTGGACATGCAGGCTCAGCGGCCATGGCTCACGGGCCTAGCCGCTCCGCGGCATGTGGGATCTTCCTGGGCCGGGGCACGAACCCGTGTCCCCTGCATCGGTAGGCGGATTCTCAACCCCTGTGCCACCAGGGAAGCCCTCATGGACCATTTTTATCTCCATATGTGATTACACTCTAGTGTTTGAAGACTCAAATAGCTATTTCCTTCATTTCAATATCAGTATGAAAAATCATCTGTCACATCTAATAATAGAATGAAAATCTGAACTCAGGCCTCTGGTATGTTTAAAATAAGAACAAGAAATAAATTCACATACTCTCTGTGACTGTATAAATTGCCATATTTAATCTAACCAGGACAGGTGGCTTGTCAAAGTTCATACAATGTGACCTAAATTGCCTTTAAAGGTCCAGGAGAAAGCAGATAGGTGATAATCATAGTTCTGATTCTCTTAAACTTTTTACAGAAAACACCTCTGAAGATGTATGGATCTGCCAAGTAAAAGAAATGTCCACCATGCTTCTAGAGTGACATCAAGGTACCTCTGACAGGTTACTGCACTTTCTGAGCCTATGGAAGAAGTAGTACACTAAGTTTAGGCCACTAAGTTTAGGCCAGAGCAAAAAGATGAAGTTATTTCTTGTTTTTAAGTTAGGTGGCAACTGTCAAGCTGCATTCACAAGCCAGAGTAGGTTTGGAGGCAGCCAGGCATGTGGACCCTAGAGTCTTCAGGAATTCTTCTGGATTAGCTTTGCCCCAGTCATACCATTGTAAGGCCAGCACAGCCTCCCTCCCAGCATCTGGGGAAGTCAATATTTTCCCCTTTTGAGAAAAGTGCAGAAGATTAATTTTGGCCACATTGGATGCCCATTAATATGCCTTGTCTCCTACCTGTTTAGCACTAGTATGCAGGAAACAGACCCAGGATATGAGTAGCAATTTAACCTGAGGTCTTAAATATTAAAATATTTTGAAAAATATTTTGGCAAAAAGCTCTAAGTTTCAAAGCATGCTTTAATTAAAATCTGTGTGCTTTAAAATAAAGAAACATGCTACTTCCTATCTGGAAGGAATGTGAAAATCAAGGAAGGGCTCCATCATATTTACAGAAAGGGAGTTATTTTAAGCACACAGTTACAATACCAATATGTTTGGGGGAAAAAAACTGGTGAAATCAAAATGAATTCTAATATCTAAGATGAATGGAAGTTTTTCTAACGTTTTCTCTAGGCAAGTGTTGATTTGCTTGCACTTTGTTATTAAGATAATACCCCGCTAGAAGATTGACTTTGTGCTGCTAGCAATAGTGTATGTATTTATATCCTAATTATTCATCATAAGGTACATATTTTGATGTGTTAAATGAGTTCCAAATGAGTGTTAAATTGTGTTTTAAAATGGGTAACTGTAATTATGCCTGGTCTCTTTGCTTTAAAGTGATTTGTGTTTGAACATAATTCAGTGTTGTAATGGGATTAGAAGTAATAATTTTGTGGGTACTTGTAATGAAAGGGACTTGTCTATACTATATGTGTTTATTATTTTCTGTATTAGCATGAATTACACTTTTTAGGGTCATTTTGGGAGACCAATGATTTCATGTCATTAACATATTAATTTCACTTTAAACATATCTATTATTTTAAACAGGAGGGAAATATATCCAGGAGATATATTTCCTCATTCTTAGAGGAAATGTTGAGGTTATAGCCCATTTATTAGGCAGTCCAGAAGCCCTTGAAAATTGTTTATATAATTTGAGGAAAGGACAGAGAGAACAAGTGTCCAGTATTTTTATGCTGCTTAGCTAGGACCACACCTTCTCTTCAGGCCTGCCCATCTAAGTTTGTATTCAATGCTGTGATTTACTTTATCAAGCCCTCATCATCATCAGTATGTTTTGTCTTTTGTCCTATTCCCTTGTTCTAGTAAGTAACTGATAAATTTATTCACACTAAGGTACTAATGACTAATGTTAGCTTAATATTAATTTGCCAAAGGATATCTGAATTCCAGGCCTTAGGGATGAACTTTAACTCAAAGTGTAAATCTCTCACTTTTAATGGAGGGATTAAAGACACTGAAGCAGACTGGAAAAGAAGATATTGTGAAGAAAGGAGTCTTACAGAAGTGCCTTTCAGGTTACATATAGTAAGTGATCACCTAATTTTCTTACAATAATGGGGATGTTAAATTTTAAGAAATATATCTACAAACATGACTTCAGTTTCTCAGATCTCTGCTTGTTTTCTTTTTCTTTTTGCCTTTTTCCCCTTCCAACTCTGGATCTGATTTCCAGGGAAAAGTCTAAACTAGGAGAGAAGTACTGTTGCAGCTGCCATCCAGACAACAGCCTCTTGAGTGTCTCCTTTCCTTGGAGAATTTTCTCTCCAAACCTCCCATTTGTCACTTTCCGGGTTTAATGAAAAAAGTAAAACCCTCAAAAAGTAAACACCATCAACTACAGCAATATACAATTCAAGATAAATGAACTCACATTTTCTATTAAAGTTATTTGAGTTCTGATTGCAAAATGTACACACAATTATTCCAACAAATATTTTTTTAAGTGGCTTTCTAAAAAATTTTTATTCATTTATTTATTTATTTATTGGCTGCATTGGGTCTTCATCGCTGAGCATGGGCTTTCTCTAGTTGTGGCAAGTGGGGGTTACTCTTCATTGCAGTATGTCGGCTTCTCACTGCTGTGGCTTCTCTTGTTGCAGAGCACGGGCTCTAGGCATGCAGACTTCAGTAGTTGTGGCACGTGGGCTCAGTAGTTGTGGCTCACGGGCTCTAGAGCACAGGTTCAGTAGTTGTGGCGCATGCACTTTGTTGCCCCAAGGCCTATGGGATCTTCCTGGACCAGGGCTCGAACCCATGTCCCCTGCATTGGCAGGTGGATTCTTAACCACTGCACCACAATGGAAGTCCCCAACAGATAGTTTTAATATGGAGTGATTTCCATGTTATTATTATCATTATTGTTATTATTATTATATTCAAATGGTTTATATGTTTTCATTGTCACTTGGTTTAGGAACTTATTCTGTTAACCTGTAATTCCATGAAAAGGAGCCATCTGCTCTAGGAACAACAGATCAAATTATCTTGGTCTGAAACTATGCATAAGTGGAACTCCTGTGCAATGTAATTTTTCTGTCATCTTTTTGTTTTTACTCCCAAAACACTGTGAAAATGTTGCACTTGGAATATATTTATGTCTATAATTTATAATATGCATTTTAGTAATAAAGATGGTCTCTCTCTTTGCATAGAAAATTTCTGCCTCCAGAATTCAATGTCACTTTTTCAGCAAACTGATGTAATTGATGATCTTTGTCAGTGTTCTCATATACATGGATGTAAGTCCCCAGAGGCTCTGCTCTCCCTTTCTCTCTGGAGTGGTGCATTCTATGTTCAAATGGAAAGATAAACCACTTCCCCATCCTACCCTACACCTGCCATCCACTCTTTGCATACTGTTCACACCCTACTAAGATTATTCCCCGTCCTCACTTGTTGACCAAGTTTACCCAAATGACTTAAATACTTGTACTTGTTAAAGTATAGTCTTTGGGCAGAAAAGGAGATGAGGGAACAGAAATAATGTTTTCTCTTTAATCTTAAGGGTTTTTAAGACACAATAGTTTGATTTTTCTTATAGATTAACAAGGAAAAACTCTTATCCTTCACTGTCCCCCTCTGCTCTTCTCAAAACAGATCTACATAAACAAAACAAAACAAATAGTAAAGTCAGGAGAATTGTCTCTGGCTCTCCTCTCATCCTAGTTATCTTTCTTCCACTTTAGCAACTCCCTCCTCATCTCACCTATATTCCTAATGCTTTCAGCATCTTCTGCAATAACCAAGTTTTTATGAATTACACATTTTGACTGCTACAGAAAAATGTTCCTAGGAAGTGGTAAAGGCTTTCCTAAGGAGAAATTTCTGATAGTTTGGTAGACTTGAAAAAAATAATGGGATATAAATATGGGATTTGACCCACACATCAAATGTCCTCAAATAATGTACATCCCTCCTACATGCCTTCTTGAAGCCACCTCACAAGTAATTTCACTGCCTTCACTGTACCATATTTTGAGAGGGAAGAAGTGAGAGATAAACTCTCAGGTAAATGTGGCTCTTTCAACTTATTTATTCCTCAATATTTAAAGGATGTGATGAGTGTTTGAGAGGCAGGCACTGAGCTGTATCTTTGTTGAACTTCACAGATAATTTCTTCAGCAGAACTTCCTCAGACTTAAACACTTATTTGATTTTTCCAAGACCTTATTTCTTCTTCTATTTTTTGTTGACTAAGTTCTCTTCATCTAACTCCTTACTGAACATCTGCTTATTCATCTATAAGCATAGTCTTTGTTTAAGGCCTTACATTTTCCTTCTTGAATCTCTTCAAGGAATAATAGAGCAACTGTTCATTGGTGGGAAGTGGATGTAATTAGGCCTATCACTCTGACCCCAATATCTTCCTTTTTACAGGAGCTTCAGAAGCAGAGCTGAGAGACAGATCTAGGATCTCTGTTCTTTAAGTTTGATTCTGTCCCACAATGGAAAGATGCTTTTCAACCTTTCCTAAATAATGTTGAATATTCACAACTTGAACAAAGACCAGGATCATTTATACATTTTAAAATACCAATCTAATGAGAAGAAAAAATAAACAAAAACAG